CAACGAGCGGCCGAGTACCGGACAACCCCTGAAGCCGCCGGGTGCGGGGCAAGACGGCGGCGTCGGGGCGGGCGCGGAGCGGCGCAGTGCTCGGACAACGCTGTGTCCGGCTCCGGACGCGCGTTCCGTTGCCCGCTCCCAATGCGCACTGTTGGCTCTGCGCTCCTCGGCAGCGTGGTTGCGTGCACGGCTGTCCCAGCCCAGAAAGGGAAGGGGATAAAAAAATAAAATTAAAATTAAAAAAAAAAAAAAAGTATATCGAAAAAGAAAGAAAATCGGCTTTATCACATAACGTTAAGATCAGTTCGATTGGGTTTCGTTTGTTCAAGCATTCGAAATTATTAAAAGTAAAATGACAATTTCTTCCACTCTGTGTTTTGGTTGTATTTCTTTTCTTTTTTTTTTTCCCCCAGTTTTCGTTTTCCATCCTTAGCTTAAGAGCTTCAGCATTCGAATTCCGGCCCCGCACCAATCGGGTTGGGAACGGCGGGGCCGTGAAGATGCGATGGGGTGCGTGGGGAGGGGCGGTCCCGCTGCTGTCCGTTGTGGGGTGCAGAGCCGGGGCTGCCTCTCCGGGTACCGCCTCGGCACAAGGAGCGATGCGAGAGTTCCTGCGCGTGTTCGACGGCAGGCCGTTTTCCAGCGTCAGTTCCAGCGGTTCCGGAGCGTCTGTGGTCGCGTCGGGCGAGGCTCGGGCGGACGCTGAAGTTCTCCAACTTCTTTCCCCCCATTTCGTGCATTACCGCGTTGTCACTGATTCTTCACAGCGTAAAGGTGAGGGGTACAATTCCAGCTGAGAATCGGTTTGCACATTGAAGCGAATGGTCCAGGGCCAATATCCTCCCATTCCGGATGTCCTCGGGCATCTCAGGGCCATTTAGGGCCGATTTGAGCTTCACCGAATGCATCCACGTTCTCACTGACCGCGGTTCTGCCCGCGTTACACCCCGACACGCGTGTGCGAGGCTCCGGCCGGGGCACACGCGAGGGGGAAGCGATATTTCCACCACCCCCCATCCCAGAGGCACTTAAGCCGCAGAGCTGTTTCCTACAGCCCCAACCGAGCGCCCAGCGATATTACATTTCGGGCCGCTGCCGGAGCGCCCCGAGGGGTGGGACCCTACCGTACGCTACCACGGATCGCCCTTCGGAAATCGGCAAGAGAGGTTAGAAGTCCCCGTACCGACATGCTGCTCAGGGGGGGTTACCTCACACCCACCCACCACCCGCTTGCACGTGGGGACCCGGCAACGCGTCCCGTACCTTTCTCGTCGTGCGTGGGGGTGGCGGTGAGCGGGATGTCGAACCACTGCGCCAGGGGGTTGGAGTACCACACGGTGAGCTCCTCGCCGGGCTGCACGTCGCGCAGCGCCCGGTAGAAGATCTGCGTGGGGGCAGAAGGGGCACTCGGTCAGAGAGCCGCGGGGACGGCGCGGGGAGCGGCGAGGGACGGGCGGGGTGTACCTGTCCTCCCGGCAGGTCCGCGACGGCCTCCAAGGTCTGCTCCTGGGCGTTGCGGGCGGCCCGGATTAACCCTATCCACTCCAAAGCGGAGCTGCCGGCTTCGTCCACCAACTCCCCTCTCACCATTCGCACCTGGAACACAGCGTCGCCGCCGTCACTTCCCCCGAACAGGGGCGGAAAGAGCCCAAAGGTGCCCCCCGAGCCTACCGCGGCCCGGCTCCGTTCCTACCCATCGGTGCACCGTCGGTGTTTTCTTTAGCGCCATAGAACCTCTGGGACCGGCCCGGAGCGAGCCCTGAGGATGGCAGAGCCGGGCCTTGCGCTAGTCTGCAGCCGCATGTAGCAGCGCTGCTCTAAATGCCCCCAGGTACGGTGATACCGGATACTCGATACTTTTTCCTTCCCCCC